TCCGACATTCTAAAATGCTGGATTGCAGTAAGCAATCGAGTCACGTATCCAGTAAAGTTATAAGTTCATCCTGATCATGTACATGCTCATCATGGTCTCAGGCACGTGGCGAGTGTTTTGGATTATACAGCCATGTTGCCGCTGTCAGCCTCCGGCGGCAAGGCTTACCAGAGGCGTTGAGCCTATAAGCATTTTCTGTTAGTAAATCCATCGAATTGCCTAAAGCGCTAAGCGAAACCATGGCACTGGGCCAGTATGTTTAAACGTGCTTTTGCAAAGACCGTTTCCTGCCCCGAAGATATACGCCGTAAAAGGAGATGCATCACAACTTATACCCAAGACTAAATAGTTGGTGATCGTCATGGCTAGAATGGGCGGGAACGGACGGACAACGAAGGGACGAGTGCAGCGCCGCAGCGCGTAAACCGAGAGGCTCCAAAAGCACCAAAAGCAGCTTTGCCGCAGGGCCTCCACATAATGAATGAAAGTATGCAAAATGTATGTAGAGTTTGCGTGCGCGCTTTTGCAATCGTACTGGTATCCGGGGAGCTCTCCTTCCTTCCTGATGCGGCCTCACGCAGGGCTGGGTCAAGACTACTTACGTGCGTACATTACTTCCTCTTGGTTGCTGCTGCCTTACGGGCTCATGAATGAGAACCGCATCGCATACGCATCGCATCATTTCGTCTGCTATTGGAGCTGTAACTGCATGATCTGTGCGTTGTACAGGTTGTGTAAGCCAGGACTTGACATCAACCTTTTCCTAGGTTTCCTAGGTTGCATCTGTAGTCCTATTCGGCAACGGCCGCCCAGAGCCACTCAACGACTTGGCACGACATGCCACCGCGACAATCACTGCAGCTTTGTTGGCGCCTCCTTCGCCCGCCATTTGCAAGCTCGGCGTTTCGGCTTCTAGCATTCGTCTCGCGGCCAACTATCTCAAACGCACCGAAAAACGCCCACACAAAATAATTTCACTGCTTAGATTAAAATCGTCGTTCAGTGATCGAGCAATGATAGATCTGTTTCAAATCTTGGGTAGTTTTGGCCTAAATCAACATCAGGCAATAGGTTATAGATTATATTTGGAAATATTCCCCATAACCCTGGTTGTTGCTTGGCTCGCCTAGGTCGCCGAAATCCTTCCGCGCGTGTTGTCGGGCTGTAGGGTTATTATCATTCGTACACAATTTTGCAGGTGCCGTACATGTACACGTGCCCATGCAACAGCACTGCGTGGGACATTCCGTACAAATATACTGTGGGTGGCGTGTAGCCCACGCAGGTTTCGGCCGGCGCAGGATTCTCAACGTGTGCTAGGCCACCATCAGTCCTGGGCCCCAGGGGGGTGACACTGGTACGGCAGCACGCGCTCTTGGGGCGCCCCAAAGCGGTCGCGCAGTTTCCTCTGCTTGGAGTTTAGTGTAACAGGTCTTTCGGGTTTTAATTCTTTCGGATTTATGCTGTTTAGGGTTTTAAACGTCCACGTAATTAGAACATTACGCAACATGCCCCCCGAAGATAGATCATTGCTGTCGCTGCTAGAGCAGCGGGGAAATTACTGTCGAACTCTTAAACGTGTTGAAGCGAAGAAAGGCTGCCCTAGGAGCTTTTCTCCTCGTTGGCGAGCAGCTATGAGAGAAAAGGTTGCCTCTTCTTGTTAAGAGACGCCGATAATGTAATACCCAACACGGCCAGGAAATTCACTCGCAATTAAACCATGCAGCATGGACCCACCCGTTGAATTTGGCGATTCCCTCTCGCATTAGTTGGTCGTGGATCGCAAGCAGTTGGTCGTACACCGCGCGACCTGCCACCGAAAGCTGAGTTGATCCTTCAATATCTGCAGAAGTGAGGAAGGACGAAGACATGATCCGTGCATGATCACCGGACAAGGAGTAAGGCCGCTACAGAGCAGCGGTAAGCTAGGATGTGGTGGATTGCAGAGGACTTGCCGGTAACGACAAAAGCCATCTCCTTGCAGTCCACAATGCTTGTAGTGTTCCTCGCAGTCGTGCATGCTGATGACCCCGTGGTGTAAGCTGACTGGTATATGAGATTTTCCATGTCCTTGCCCGCCTCCTGGCCAGCTTTCTGCTTGAGTGCTTGAGCACGACTCCTCCATATCAACCAGCTTGTGATAGCCAAGATAATGCAGCCGAAGCCCAGCAAAGCAATGGCTACGGCCGACGCAAGCATGACGGCTACGCAGCGCTGTCGGCATCACACGCAACAGCTCGGATATGCCAGGTGAACTACTGCCTACGGAGAGGGACAGGCTGCTTGGGAAGCCTTGCAGCTCCTGTAATGAAGGGCTTGAAGGTGCTGCTGCTGTAACTGCCAAGTAATACCGTTCAAGATGGTTGGAAGCGTGTACAATGTTAATGTCATGCAAGTTGTATAAGCTTAATGCATTGATGCAGAGGTGCAGTCGTGTAAACCTTCTTTTCTCGAGACGCAGTCAAAGTATAGTGGAATAACACTGTGTGACTATTTCCACTACTGAAGGTGCAGTGTGTGCTTGTAAACTATTAATCGTATTTCAGTCGTAGATGACCTCGTTTGGTAGTTAGGGAGCTATCGCCAAATTGCTTGATTAATGGTGCGTCAGAAACAGGCTTGCGTGCAATATACTATTTCATCAGATCTACGCAGCCGAGCGTTCCCTACGGCCAGGAACACCGATTGCGGAAGGAAGGTTGGGCGCGAGTCTTCTGGCGTCCCAGTAGATTTGCGAGAAGAAAGCCGTGGAAATCATGTAAGGCCCCTTTTTTATATTTCCTCTATGATAAACAGGCAACAACATACAACATTGCAAATCTTGGCTTAAACGGACACCAAAACTTTCCGCGTGGCCAGTTTCTCGTTTCCCGAATAATCAACGGTTTCCAGATCGCTTACCTCACATTTCCGAGGTTACATGAAGTGTGAAGCTCACCGGTACTCTGGGTGGCTATTACGTACAGGTTGAGTAAAATCTGCCTATGAAAGCTCTACGAAGTGCTACCGCCAACCCTATACTACTGACGTTCCGGAGCACGCTACTTGGGTGGCCCTGTTTCGGGCATTTGTTGATCACAACTCATGTGGTGGATGAATTAGGCTTTATGGGCACTTAGGTGTCCATAGCTTGCCTACCTGGGGAGGGGACAAGGCAGAACTGCGCCGTATACCAGAAAGAGGAAGTAAGGATAGCAGCAGCAACAACACGTTGGACATATGTTGACGGATGCCTACAAGCAACTTGGTTCGCCGAGAAGAATAAAGAAGGGGAACTCACCTTCTCGCCTAGGATTTGGTTCGAATTGCACGCTAGATCTGTTTGTTGTCTACCCCTCGCCCTTTTGGAACGCGATTTAATTCAAGGTGCGGTATGTTAATAGACTTCTTTAAAGGCAATCAGGTGGCGGACCTCCTCAGCGATTACTATACGTACACGTAGGGTTTTTGCGGTGGCTTCACGGGGCTTACGGGCCTATCAACAGGCCCATACATGACATACACGCTCACCTTAGGACGCCAGGGGCCTAGAGGTACAGCGCGGCAAGGTCTTGTTTGGGGATGTTTGGGGCTTCATGACTCTCCGTACATCGATGTCGTACGATACAAAAGATCACGGAGAGGCTCGGCACGGAACTGAACAGCTCACAAGCGGTTGTGACATGACGGGACTGAGAGGCAGAGCAGGGATGGCGCCTTGCGCCCTTGTGGTCAAGGAAACGTGCTGAGGCTAAGTGGGCTATACATGCTGCAGCTAAAAGCGGCTAGGGGTTAGGCTAACGGCTTGTTGGGTGATCCTGCTGCTCCTTGTTGCTAAGGCGGAGCAAGGCTGACAGGTTGCACATCAAATTCAAGAGGCTTAGGCGCAATGCCAAGGAGTTGTAGTACTCTAGTACTCTAGCACCGCATCAAAGTAGCTGGTGTATGAGAGCATCAATAGCCATGCAAGAGGGAGCTTTCGGGACTTAGGGCCGCTGGCATCCCCATGCCCCCATCCCTGATCCGAACGCGCGACAGTCTTAAGGAGAGAACTTGTTTTTATGGTAATGCTGATGTGATATGCTTGACACTGAACGGGCAGAAGCTATGTTGTGCTGTTTCGCGAACTCCGAAGCGAAAATCAACGGCACGGGCTTGGTAAGGTCTGCTCTGGTAAGGTATGTTGGGTTTACGGCACGGGCCTAGGCTTAGTCACACAAGCTTCATGCATGACATGACATGTAAGGAAGTCGTGAAGGCACATCATTCGACGAGTCCACTATCACAACCCCCCCCCAGTGTATAAAACAACGCGCAGGTGCCAACCGATTCCAACTTGCAACCGACTTGCACACCCGTTATGGCAACCAACAAGAACCGGCCTCAACCAGATCTTTAAGGGGATTTGAAAGGGTTTGAAAGACAACGCTGCACAGTAAACTTCGAGTATCCCTAAACTCATTTCGACAACATTCGTCGACGCCCGCGAGTTACTCAGTGCGCTGCATAACGCAGGCCTGCTTCCGCGCCTGCTATCATCCTTTGGCGACCGTTTTACGCAGCGCTCCGTCGTACTTTCCGTACACCCTTGACTGCCATGAAGTACACCACAACCTAGAGAGGACTATATATATACTTTGAAAAAAACGTCTTCTACACCACCGTACACTACAGCACCTAAAAGCGCTAACCGCCAACTGCATTTCCACCGCACCTAATCGTCATCTGCCATCCCCCACCATCCATCGTAACCCCAACCCCAACTAGGTGTACCACACGAGCACAACGAGAACCAAATCGCCAAATACTAATTCGCTCACCATGACTTGCCGCGGGATCCCCCAGCACACCCCATGCCCTGCACACCCTTCTCACACCCCGCCAGAAGGGGGCCTCTACTACTACTACTACTACTACTACTACTACTACTACTACTACTACTACTACTACTACTACTACTACTACTACTACTACTACTACTACTACTAGACGGTGTCCGTCCCAGGTCCCGCTGAGCCTCCCACGGTTCCGAACCAAACCAGCATGACACTGCAGTTGTCTTTGCAACGCTTCTCCCGTACGGCAATGTTGATCAACCGATTGGTGACGGCCTTGGCTCCCAGCCCCTCATTCAGCAGCGAGTGTACGACATCCACCGCCTCCTGGGCGCCAAACACCTGGACAGGCACGACACGGGGGGGGGGGGGACGCGTAAAATGCTGTTGAGAGGTTGCAGAGGTTTATCCTTGGGTTTGTCTTATCTATATTTTTTTACTGGCAAATGTAGACGTTGTACCACCGCACTAACTGCCACGCACCTTGTCCTGAAGTTCCTTCCCGTCTCTAACCCCAAAGCCTGATCCAGGTAAACCCTCACCCCACCATAGTCCCCGATTCGTGATCGGGTCTTGCGCGCTTGGTTATTAATCAATAAATATACCAACTTTATATTATTTAGCTGTTCTATATCATATATAGCAGTACAAATATGGCCGTACATTCGGAAAGTTATCGAGGTAGGATTCCCGTTGATGTTACAGATCGGCCCCGTGCCGCGGGCTTTTGCATGTATTTTGCATGTACTCCCCTCCCCAAGGAAGACACTTACGCCCCAGAAGCCGTCGCAGCCCAGCAGCAGGAACAAGTCGCGAGAGGTCAGCTGAAACGCGGTCACGTCCGGTGTGCCGGAGCAGCCCATCTGGGGAAACATGAAGGTCAACATGAAGGTCAACATGAAGGAGGGTGTATTGAAGGAGGGCATATCAAAGAAAATGTTTTTTGCAATAGTCAAAAAAGCGTCGAGAAGACGGGACAGTTTTGGATTCCCTATATATTTTGTGTACCTGGCGCGTGACGGCGTGTGCATTACGTTGACATCACGCCGACACATCCATCATGCTGGGGATGAGAAGTGGGCCGCTGCCTCACACATGCACACAGGCCCGGCATCACTGAGCCGGCTCCTTCTGCACACATGCAGCCAGCCATACCATACGCACCGCCAATACACTACCCTACCTGACAAGTCACCACCTGGCGCCGTACCGTGCCGTACCGCACCACCCCAAACCCCAACCGCTACCCCCCCAGTTACCTTCTTAAACGCCGCATCGCCAAAGGATCTCGCCACCTGAATGCGGCCCGCCAGGCGCCCATTCACCACCGAGCCCCCTGCCTTCTCGATACGTTGCCGCTCTAACAGTGCCGTGTGCTCCTTCGTCAGCAAGATAGCCCGCGGCTTGGGGTCCACTGCAGTACCAGTACCAGCTGTGGTGCTGGTATTGGTTGAGCTGCTTTTGATGTTGATATTGTTGTTGCGGTTGTTTGAACTGGACCCGGCAACCTAGAGGGAAAGGAATGAAACAAGACGGGAACCATAGGTGGATAGATAGGCAGGCACGGTGGGGCTGTGTTTCGAAAGCTGCGCCAGCCAAGGGGCTGGAAGGAAGGTGAGGGCGGCTAGAAAGGCCGCAGAGATGTCGCTATTGGGAACACGTCTTGTTGTTTTTTTCCTCGGTGTGTGCTTCAATTTCAAACATTTCTGCTGCGACAGCATTCGTGTTAAAAGCGGCGCACCACTGTCAGTGCGTTGAACACGACAGATTTTACTGTGTAACTGTTTATAAAAACAATCCGCAATTGGCGCTGTACCGTGCTCTCCTATGGCGCAAGAATACCAGCGGTCCGGGGGCCAGCGGATGATTGACGCGGTCGCAGAGCCCGCGTACATTCAGCCTGAAGGCGGCTGGTGCAAGGTGCGTGCAAAGGGCTGTAGAAGCTGGGTATCTGACTGGCTGGCTAGGTGGCTGGCTAGCTGCCCTACTTCCCGCCTAAACATCTTCATGTGGGGTCATGTGCGGCAAACCAGCATGAAACACCACGACGGACGTTCAGCACTATCCATCTGGCATGAGCAATAATACGCAATGAATGGTCCGTGACCTAGGGTGCTGCTGTCATGCTGACCTTTTCAGGCAAGCGCCCCAAGACACACTGCAGGAACAGCAAATGGGGGACGGGGCGTAAGGAAAGGGAGTAGGTAAAATTGGTGAAAGACATGAAGGCGAGGCTGCGGGTGGAGGAGCTGCGTGGCCTTGTGAGCGCGGATTTATTGTCGCAAAAGGCCAGGGGTGTGGCAGAGCGGCGACATGGCGCACCTTGGCATCGCCCACATTTGCCACGAGGACCAAACCTTGGAGGACCCAGACTGTCACGGCGCAAGCACCATCCTGCATTATGAGAAGGACTTGCTCTTCGGGTAAAGGTTCGGGTAGGTGCACGCGTACGAACGTGCAGCGGTACTGTACAGCGTATTACTGATATTTACCTGCCAATTCATCGCTGTGCATTCCTTCAGCAATGCTTCATCAGTCTTCTTGTAACCCTGATGTGACAAATCAGGACAGTGTTTAAGAGGACGATATAAAGCGGAAGCAAATTGTACTGGTTTGTTCACGCAAACCTGGACAGCTCACAATATGAAAGCCACATGTAATTTACAACCAATTGCAAGACAGTGTGCGCTCTTGCCTAGGTCAGCCACTGTTTGCCGACGGCGAGGACGGCATATATCGACTGGCCATCGCCAGTCTCTGTAAGTCCTTTCCCAGGAAGCTATTCTGTCCCAAACAGTTGACTTCGGCAATTTAAGCAAAAAAGCTCATTCTGAAACTCCTGCCTTGATCAGCGAAGTAATCTACTTCGCAGGACAGCTACCGCTGCAGCGGTAGATACCGCTCTTGCCATTGTAGGCTCGCTTGGAATAGTGGGGGGAACCTTTTTTGCGGCTTTATACATCATTGAGCGTCAAAGCAAGGTACGGCTGCTCTTCCTTCGGCTACACATGCCGTTCGACCCCCCATCACCCCAACTTGGAGGCCTTCATGCCGGCCTGCCGTCACCTTCCGCGCACCCAACTGCAATTCGGCGAACGTTGCACGTGCAATGCTCTTATCACCTCGGGGAAGGTGGTCCGGCTCTAATCTATCATAGTATATCGTTGGCCATAGGTGCCTTACCCACTACCCGTCCTACCCCTGCCCCATACGCGTCCGGGGTTATATCACATAACCCCCATGCCGCAGCTCCTGTTGCTGCTGCTACTATTACTGCTGTGCACCCTTCGGATCACACCTCCTGTTATTTCAATCCCAACTCCAGACGCCTTAAACTGCCTCTTCCCCTTACAGCCTTATGGCGCTCACAAAGAACAGCTCCACTTAACTTGGTTTTGCAAACCTCCTTGCAGCTCCTAACCCGCTGACCCTTTTTGCGTTTCTGAATTTACATATCACATCGTCACCCCAACCAACCAGGTCCCCGGTCCCCGATGTTTCGTCGTTTACCCCTAGCCCCCAAAGATCCCCGTCCCGTGGGACCGTGCCGTTGGCATCTGCAACTTTTCAGGAAGTCCTTCACCGCAAACTCGAGCGGCTAGAAGCCACCATCAGGGAGCGAGATCAGCAGCTGCTGTCGGCGGCACAAGAGGTTGACAGGGCCAAGGAGGTATGGCAAGGCCATATCCAAACAGACAGTGCGTTGCACCGCTAAGAATATATCGCTAATAACCATAGTACTAATAACCACATCGCGCGTGCTTCGGCGCTTTCACCGACGCGAATGGAACAAAGGTGCACTTGACCCTCAGACCTTCTTCACCTTGTTTCGGACGCGCCCCCTCGTGTGGGGTACCACCCAATTCGTATCCACTTAGAATATTTGCCTTTCGCAGTTGTTCTTTTCCGCCGCCCAGAATTTAAATGGACTTGCGAAATTTAAAGGAATCCTTGAATCCTGAATCCAACTCCCCTGACCCAGCACGCCCGCGAGAACGACATGTTTCGAGTCCGCTACGCCGATGCCAGCCGGGACATCTTTAAATTGGAGAGGGCGCTGGAACTCAAGGCGAGCGGGAAGAGCGGGGGGCGATTGGCGTGTGTGGGTTAAGAGGGCACGAAACTTGTAGTAGAGAACTACACCCTCCGATCCGAATCTCCACCATTCACAAGTTGCGTAAATGCATGCGTTCCTTCCTTCCTACCTTGCTTGCACTCCTCAAGCCCCACATGTCTGCTTCTTCTCACCGCTTCTTGCCTTCCTCCCTGTTTCGCCTTGCATGTCATGTCACCTCATATGCCTGAGCAAAGCAGAGGCCAAGCGGAACCCCCCTTCCTTCAAGGCTATCCTGCAACATGGTTTTGTCATACTGGGGCCCCCATCTTCTCCCCCTCCCTCTTTCTCCCCCTCTCCCTCTTTTTCCCTTCCCATGAGCCAGGACGGCCAGCTTGAGTCCTTCATGGTGGTCGCCAAGCGCCAAATTGCGTACCTGGAGAGCCGGGTGCGGGACCTGCACAAGGCCGCGGACTAGCCGCCGCAATCTATTGCTGCTGGGCTGCACCTGTTGCAAAGCCAACCAGGAAACAGGAAACAGGCTCGGCCAGCAGCCCGTACCCTGTAACCTGGGGGCTTGCCTCGTCTTCGGAGCCTTACCTGCTATAGACTGCATTACAGTGTTCCGTTTTATTGAGAGGTTCCATATCCTTTGCGGACGGGGCGCCGGGTTGCCTATGAAGATGTATGGGTCGTTTGGAGCTAGTTTTGTGGCGTCATTACTTCTGCGTTGGAGCTAGTTTGTGGCGTCATTTGTGGCGTCATTACTTCTGCGTTGGAGCTAGTTTGTGGCGTCATTTGTGGCGTCATTACTTCTGCGTTGGAGCTAGTTTGTGGCGTCATTTGTGGCGTCATTACTTCTGCGTTGGAGCTAGTTTGTGGCGTCATTTGTGGCGTCATTACTTCTGCGTTGGAGCTAGTTTGTGGCGTCATTTGTGGCGTCGTTACTTCTGCGACGTCGCCTTCCTTGTAGTTATTCTGCTGGTGTGATGTTGTACGTGTGGTGGCAAAGCCGAGGACTGCCAGGCCATGTAGCTTCCCCAAGCAGAGGCCGTACAACTACCCGTACAACTACCCGTTCAACTACCTCACCTCGACAATAGCCGCCTTGCACGCCTTGGCGTCGGGCTTGCCATTGGGCGAAGGGAGACCCTGCATATGTGTGCAGGGTGCGTGGTGCGTGTGTCAGGAGCATACAATATCTACACAAAAACGAATTGCGGGTGTATGAATGAATGAAGGTATGTATGTATGCATGTATATTGGCATATTCTGAAGTAATGGGATATGGTGTGCGCGCGCCTGTGTTTACATATCTGTGTCCGGAAAACGAAAAGGGTTGGTTTGTTAGTTGAATCAGTTGTACGGTGCCAGTTGCTGGAAAAAAAGCATTGGAGGGGGTGCCGGCGCATGTGCTCATAGACGCTGGCTGGCATGAGGGCTGTAAGAAGGCCGAAACAAGAACACAACAATGTCGTGTTGGTGGTTAGAATGATGGTTAGAGTGGTGGTTAGAATGGCGGTTTGTGACGTCGATGTGTTTATACTGTGTTGGATGTGCCGTGAGGATATAAAAATTACCGAATCCAGATAATATTTTGTTCCTATGTTGGGTATGATTAGCCGAACGGAAGACATTTAAAAAGCAACCAGGGAGGTGAAAGGAAGAGGCCCAGACGAGAGCTAACCCTTTCACCGCGATCATCCGCCGCTCTCGTGCACGGGCTGCATCCTGAACATTCTGAACACGGTGCTGGCACAACCGAGCCACCGACTCAACACGAGCCAACCGAACACTTACCGAACTCCCTCTATTCAGTCTCAAACCGTCCTTTATCCCACCCACCTTGCGAATCAAGCCACTATCCAGAACCCGCGAGTGCAGGTGCTGTGCGGCGAAGGACGCGCAGGAAACACCCCCGTGCCCGTCAAAGATGCCAAAATAGGCAAGACTGTGTCAACCGGGCGTTTGGGAGGATCACAAAAACGACGAGGAGGGGGGGCAGGCATCTGAGGTAATGGTGAGCAAGGGATGGCAGCCAGCATGATGGGACACCAGATGCCCATGCTAAGGAAAAAACTCTGTTGAGTTTCCAAAGCCCTGTCCACGGCCGCATTTTCTGTGTGCTACTTTACAAAGCATAACAAGATGGAAGGCAAGGCACTAGCTCCATGACGGCTCTACCTAACTCTACTCCCTGGACCCGAAGTCGCTCACTACTTACACGTCTGGTATTGTTGAGCATTTTTGTTCTTAATCTGTAAGTAATCCAGCCCAACCGTAAGCATCTCATGGATTGCATGAGACGTGGTTTCCTGGAGGCCGATAGCCAACAGTGCGTCAACCGAAAACTGACAACGCTACTTGTCAAACGTGCCGATCCTTGTCAGGCCCATAATGATGAAATCCTAAGGAGGTCCAGGTTTCCGTGGAAGCGACAGGGCTTACACCTCCAATCCCACTTGAAACACTCGGGAAAGCCCGCTATGCGCGCAGGGTTCAAACCTGCAGTTGGGTTGGTGTTCTTCGGGCCGCGCGTCCAATTGCAGAACGCACACGTCCTCCATTGTATTCCGGCATCCCTTGTCCTCGCTGTAGGCTGCTGTTAAATAGGTACCCGTAGCATGGGGGACGCTGCCGGCACGCTCGGCTGGGCTTGGTGGGTCGGTCGCAGGTGTGCTATTATCGCCTTGGGGCTTTGCCGCGGAGGAACCTGCTGCCGGCAAGCGTGTGAGGCGAATTGCGGACATCTCCATCCATCGGAGGTGGCCTCCGGAGCCTCACCACCGCTTGCAACACATTGCTCCTGGAGCCTGGGCTCCTTTGCATCGCGTGTTGCATCGACGACCGCCTTATCCTCTAGCATACGTTTCCTAGATCCATCAGGTACTGGATATTCATCCTGCTGGTCTTTACATTTTGCAACTTCCTGGTGCTTCTCCTCCATTTCTTTCTGGCGCAAACCACCAAGGTGTCAATTGCCGGTCGGCAATGTCTATATCCTTGAAATATTTCAGGCATAAAAGAAAACTTGATGGACAGACCTTATTTAGGAAACAGGCCGCACAATGCTGTGTTAACGGAAAATGTTGTACGGCAGAATAGCTTTTACAGGTTTAGGCTTCTATGTGCAAGTAACTGCTTGATTCAGTCAGAAATCATTATTCATAAGCTACATTGATTGTTTCATTAAGGCGAACTCCATAGCTGCGCACCGGTTTTCTATCTGTAACCACAGTAAGGATTCCTAGGGGTATACCGTATGCAGCCTGCTCGAGAATTCCCCGCCTTTAGCGACGCCACCGTGGTTGGTGGTGGGTTCCGGTAAGGCAGTAGCGGTTACATACATGCCAGCCAAGGTCCCGGAGGATACGCATCCTGTGCTTGCGTACCGCCATGAAAAGGGAGCTTACATGATGTTGAGAGCTAACTCCTCAAACTGCGGCCGGCCTGGCACATAGTATCACCCAGTGAATCGATGGAACTTGCCTGGTGTAGAGGAAATCCATGGAAATCCGCCAATGCTGTTAGCTGACGGCAAGGCACCTTTATCTTGAAGATGCCCTATCGGTTTCTGACTATGACTATGAACGAAAAACTTTCATGTACGAATTCTGCATCACTATGGCTGCAAAATGAGGAGCCTCTCAGCTCCCAGCCTGCCCTGTCCCGTTTGCATCAGCCAAATCCAAATCCATTCCGCGTCTCGTCCTTTCTCCTTAACCCTGATGTCATACCGCTGTATCCTCCATCTAACACACCTTGCCAGTGTAGCCGGCATCCCCTCCAACACCGGCTACAACCGCCACATCGCCAACCTGGCGCCCCAGCAGCGCTCCCATGACGCTCCGGAACCCCGCATGCTCACCCAGATGGCCAAGCAACGCCTTGTTCGCCGCTCTGACGCTTATGAGCAGGTAGTACGGCATACCTGTTCATCGCACCCCATTCGTACGGCATATTTATCGTGCTTCTTCAACCTGCATGCGCCAGTCTATTAACCTACCTACCTACCAAAACCTACCTACAAGTTTCTTTTGATAAATCGGCCAAACCTAATCAACAGTCTTACAAATCGGCACGCCCTCCAACGCAAACCTCCTGCCGTACAGTACGGTCCGTACGTTTACCACGGGATAACACCGACCGCTGGAGACCAGTCGCAGCCATATCAAGAGATAAGCCCGCCGCAGGGGATGCGTGCGTCTATGCCGTACAACTCGCTGTACGGCACGTCCGCCGCTGCAGCGGGCCGCACCGCTTCGGTGAGGAGCAGCCACCCGCCGCCACCACCGCATCATCATCATCATCATCACCAGCATCATCACCAGCAGCAGCCCAGTGCCGCAGCCGCCGCTGCCGCTGTCGCCGCCGCGTACCAGCAGGCTGCCGCCGCCGCGGCTGCAGCCGCGGCGGCAGCAGCAGCAGCAGCTGCCGGACTGTCCTACCCGCCGCAGGCGCAGGGCACGCCGCAGATGGTGGCCATGCCGCAGGTGACACACGGATCGAACCGGGGAGACAAACCGTGAGCTTTCCTCCTACCTTGATAATTGCTCCCATACATATTACTTACCGTCGCGCTTTTAACACAATCTCACTCACACAAACCCAACCGAGCAAACCAAGCAAAACCTGGAAACCTGCAAACCGCCATGCAGCGTTGCCGTACATATAGCAGTCAGGGTATACAAGGCACGTGACTCCTCGGAGCGCATCTATATATGTACGGCAATTCGCCACCCGCTTGCGCACGTTGTCGTCTTGCACATGTCGTACATCTGCAGGTGGCGGCGGCCCAGGCTACGGCCCAGGGCCACGTGACGACGTCTTTGTACGCCGTACCGTCAACGGTGCCGCCGCAAAAATATCCACGGGAATCACGGTATACATCACAGTCACCGCCGCCGCCGCCGCCACCGCAGCAGCAGCATGAACCTGGCCACGTAGAAGCCCCAGTCACTGCCGACAACGATGACGAGGAGGCACCGGATTCGCCCTTGCGAGGTGTCGTACTCCGTAGCGCTGTGTCGCCGACGCCCACGCAGCAGCCGCCGCCGCCGCCGCCAGCGGCAGCCGCCGCGGGTACCTTGGCGGCGGCGGAGGCATGGCTGGCTGCTACAGCCGATCCAGTGCAAGGCTCAGAACCGGATGGCGCCAGCGAATCCTTGCCAGACATCACTCTACTGCCGCGACGGCGACTGTCCGTGGTTTCGGAGCTGCCGACAGAGGCAGAGGCCGCACAGCTGCCGCCCACACCGACGGCCGCCTCCGGCGCCGGTGGTTTCGGAGCGGTGATGCGTTCCTCGAGTGGTGGCTCAACCCTCGTGGACTCGCAGACACCAACTCCCCGGGTAGCGGCAGTTACCGGTCCGCCGCCGCCGCCGCCGCCGCCACCGCAGCTGCGTTTGGCGTCGCCGCCTCATCCCCCTCCTTTGGGCGATTCACTCCAGGGACCCCTTCCGGGAGGTTCCAGCCCCAAGTGCGTGTGTATGTATGTATGTATGTATGTATGTATGTATGTATGTATGTATGTATGTATGTATGTATGTATGTATGTATGTATGTATGTATGTATGTATGTATGTATGTATGTATGTATGTATGTATGTATGTATGTATGTATGTATGTATGTATGTATGTATGTATGTATGTATGTGTGCGTCTGCGTCTGCGTATGTGGGTGTGCACGTGTTTTTTTCACAATTGACCTGCGCGATTTGTTATAGAGCTGAGTTGCGCAAGGGCGTAAAACGGTTTAGCTCCAAGGGGGGGTCGTTTGCATGCGTGCGCGTATATGTGTGTATGCGTATGCACGTGTGTGTATGTATGTATGTGTGCTTGTGTGTATCTGTTACATATCGATCCTGGCCTGGTGCTGGCCGGGTTTGATGTTGGCCGTACCCCAACGGGAACGGCCGCCCAAGCACTCTACATTGGAGGGGCGTTATATCGTGGTATGTGTGTATGTATGTATGTATGTTTGTTTGTTTGTGTGTATTGGTGTATGTATGTGTGCGTGATGTTCTTTGGGCAAGTGCACGTGCTTGGGGACGACGAAACCCTAGGAAAAGATGTAGAAAAGACGTGGAAATCTCGGCCGCGCCCCGCCCTCCCTCGCGGGGGACCTGAAGGAGAAAACAGGCACCAACAAGAGGCGAATAGCACACAGGCAATAATGGAACCGTAAGTAACCGAAACGGTGATTATATCATTCTTAGTTAAATATATATATTGTTATAAGTTAAATATGTGAATTTGGAGTTCAATTCAAAATTGCTTTCTGTTTTGCTGCCTCGGGTCCAACCGCAGACCTCGAGCAGGGAGCCAAAACGCTCCGGGCCCCGGGGCCCGCGGCGCCCTCTCCAGCAGCGTCGCTGCTGCTGAATTCCACAACCCGCAGCCGTCGCGCGGGCTGTACGGCAGCGTTGTACGGCGACCCGCCACGGCCGGTGCAGCTGTGCCGACATCGACGCCGCCGTACGATCTACGTGCTGTAACCGGAGATGCAGCGGCGGCGCGGCCGCCGGTGGAGGTGTTGACGATTCATCACTCTTCGCGACATCAAGCGGAGGAAGTGGCGGTACGGATGTCAACGTCTCAATTTGGACCTGACGCGTCGTATCTGCAGTACGTACGGGAGGATGGGAATAAAATACAAAATGCAAAAGTCTTAAACAAAGAATGATCGGGAGGATTGGAAGGGGATGGGCCGCCGCCATGGCCGCTGCTACTGCACTCTCACCCTAATTGCTAAAAGCTAGTTTGGCATGTCGGCAATCATCGGTTGTCGTACCCCCGGTGCCGCTAGCCACCTGGCGCCTCCTCCTCCTCCCCCTCCTGCTCCTCCTCCCTCACCGCCACCACCGCTGCAACCCGCGCCTCAGCCGCAACCTCCCAGTCCCCTTCGGGTTATGTCAGTTATATCAGGTCGGTTAGTTCGGTTAGTTCGGTTACGTGTCATGGGTTCATTACCCGTTTGGCCCCCTTTTACCCCCGGGGGCCGCAGGTCTCCGAAATCTCCTTCGAGGCCCTCCTCAGCGGCAAAGGCGCCCTTGGGCTCCCCTCCCTCGCCACCCTACGGGGCCAAAAAGGGCTTATGGTCCTCCCGAGCCGCATTGGCGACCGAAACCCGTGGCTTGCGTGCTGCGGCGCGTTTGTTGCGCTCCGAAAACCGGCGGCTGGCGAGTGAGGCCGCGGCGCTCGCGGGCAGCGTGGAGGGGCTGGCGGAGGGGTGGCTGAGCCCGGAGTTTGTACGGCTTCACGCGGCATCAACGGAGCGTCGGCTACTGTTCCTGGAGCAGCTGTCCCCGCTGGCGTCATGTGGGTGGAATGGTTTGAGGTTTATGTGGGGGCACATGAGGTGGGGTGGGGGAGAGGGGGGAAAGACGAACCACAAACGAGTGAAGCTGCTGCCAGGGGGCAAGAGGAGGTTGGGGGGGGGGTATGTGTCATGTGGTGGCAATGGCTGCCCGAAAAAAAGGTACATATCATCAGGCGACGCAGTAGATAAACTGTATAT